ATAATCCAAGCATTCCACCCATGATCTCCAACAGATAACTCATCCCACGAATAGAACTGTATAATTAATAGGAGTTTTTGATTTTCTTTACATTTGCCTTTAGTGCTCTTAATATTGAAAGTCCTTAAATGTTTAATAGTATATTGATGACACATTCATGAGTAGGTAAAAAAAAAAAAAAAGAGAGAGAGAGATTAATTAAAAATCACCGATTTGGGTCTTCCATACTAATTCACAGTTTCTTTCCAGTTCATTAGATTAATTGTCTCTCAAGTCTTTTTTTTTGATGGAAAAATAAACGCATCTGTAAAAATAGATATCTTTCACCACACATAACTATTCTACCACCACAATTATTAATCCTCACACCTTCTTCTCTAAATTATTCCTCTTCCCGCTTGCTTTTCAACTATTCCTATCCTGATTGTCCACTGATCTCACAGGATGCCTTCTTTCCACTCTGCAGTTGGAATTTTTGGAAACAAAAATCTGACTAGTTCACCTTCCTGTTTATGACAAGCCAATGTTTTCCTCCATTGCTCTTAATATAAAACACATTTCCCAACATGATCCACAAAGAAATCACCTTATCCCAAATTTCCAGCTCATTTTGCCCCATAGTCTATCTCTCCATCTCTGCTATAACCATACTGGCTTTCTTCCAGCCCCTTGTTCTTGCCATGCTCCCTCCAGCCCTTGGTTCTACACACATGAGGCTCTTTCTGCCTGGAATGTTCTTACTTTCCTTCTCCATTTAGTAAAACCTATTCTTTCTTTTGATCTTACCTCAGTTGTCACTTTCTCAGAGATTCCTTTGCTCATTGCCCTAACTAGGACCGATCCCATGTGATAAACACTCTTGGTTCCAAGCTCCTCTTTTTTTTTTGTTGTTTGTTTGTTTTTTAAATTTATAGCTGTATTGTTTTTGTTTCTGTTTTGTTTTGTTTAGAGAGGGGGAGGGGCCAAAGGAGAGGAAGACAGGGAGGGAGAGAAGCAGACTCCCCGCTGAGCATGGAACTCGATGCAGGGCTCTACCCCACAAACCTGAGATCATGACTTGAACCAAAATCAAGAGTCAGATGTTTAACCAAATGAGCCAGCCAGTCACCACTAGTTGCAATTTTATATCAAATTATAAGATTACTTCATTGATGTCTATTTTTCCTAGTAAAATATAAGCTCTGTTAAAGCAAGGGCTTTGCCTAAATTTACTCACCAATGAATCGGTCAGCACTGTATCTGGCATGCAGCAAAGGTGTTCTGTAAATATTTCTTGATTGATAACAGAATAAAGTTCTTTGAGCTTTCTCAAGATAAAGACAATTACAAAGTATTTAACCAAAATATCTCCTATAAGACACCCAATGTGATGTATCCATTCAAAAACATAACTAGAGAGGTTTCCCGTAGAGTGAAATCATTTTTTAGTCTTGTCTTCTTTTCTTTGATTTTACTTGTGATCTGAATATAGAAGCTTTTTTTTTTTTTAAGATTTTATTTATTTATTTGACAGAGAGGGAGAGATTACAAGCAGGCAGAGGGAGAGGAGGAAGCAGGCTCCCCGCTGAGCAGAGAGCCCAATTTGGGGCTCGATCCTGGGACTCTGAGACCATGACCTGAGCTGAAGCAGTGGCTTAACCCACTGAGCCACCCAGGAGCCCCTGAACATAGAAGCTTTGATGATGAATGTGAATGGAATCCCTTAATAAGCATATGCTCTCAGATTATACATTGAGAAGTAATATAATTTCTTTATTTTAATATCATTTTCTTGTTGTTCATTAGTATTAATGCGGATTACTGCACTCTAATACCAGATAATTCGATATATCTATGCTTATTTTTGGTACATCTCTGTTTTTTTCTATTATTTTATTACTATGGATATTAGCAAATACTGCTTTTCCTATAATATAAGGAAATACTAACTCTAAAATACTTATAATTTCATTGAAATAAACATGAAAAATCAATCGTGGTGGCAAGGTCATTTAAATCTACAAATATTATGTTTGTAGGTAAGATGATTCTACAGTGTTGGATGAGTAATAGGAACATAAAATGATCCGAGTCTTTAGAAAACTACTAATGTAAAATACTAATGACCAATGCAAGAGACCAACTCTACAAGAGAGGAACGTGATTTTACAAGTGACGTGCATCTGTCTCTTACCACAACATGCATTAGTCTCTTACCACAGGCATCCCCATACATCAGGTCTTACCAATATAGCTGAACCAACTCAGGCTATGGCCCTGCCAACATTGGAAAAGGGGGTTGAAGAAAGATAAAAAAGCATCCAAGAGCAGGTTTCACCACAAAATAATGAAGGCCTCAATGAAATATTAGAACTTTGGGGTAAATGAAGCTTAAAGGATTATCGAGTTTAAACCCATTATTTCATACATGGGGAAACCAAAGTTAGGGTGAAAACAAGTCATTGGTCTAAAGCCACACACCCAGTTGATGGCAGAGCCAGGACCCAAACCAGATCTCTTAGGACACAGCTATCCCCACTGCATTATGTGGCTTGATCACATCAGTTCTCCAAAATTCTCTAGGAAACATAATCTGAGCAATAAACCCTAGATCCAGACCACTTCAGTAACTGGAGAACCCACAAACATCTTTATAATAACAATATCATGGGACTGATATTAGCCAGCAAAAACTAATATGAACAAATAACCAGTACCCTCTATGCTCTCAGCATTCTCTAAATTTCTCAGATGCACATAAGGAACATTAACAGAACGTCTTTCTTCAAAATAACGTCTCTGTGCCACTAAATCTCTTTCGTGAGTTAAAAACACCAATACAGGTTTTCAGGTGACAGTTTCCATCTGTAGACTTCTGGCAACATTCTATCAAAAGTGGACACGGACACAGAAATCTAGAGTATAATGCTACATCAGTGGTGTGCTCAGAAACCAGTTCTCCAAAAACACAAGATAAAATTTAAAATGCTCTTATTTCTAGAGCTTGCTGGCTCCTGTGATAGAAATACTCCCACCATGGCTGATTTCAAGCTGCTGGGTCTGGAACACACCGCACAGGGAATTCCTGAGTATTGAACAATTGATCCTAATGTACCAGTCAAAGGCAGCTCCGAGCACCACTGGTAGTACAAGGAGACCTAGAAATAATCAAGGTCAACACACTCTTTTAGAAGAGGAAACTGAGGCTCAAAGAGAGTAAATTAAATGATTTGCCTCAAATTCACACAGTGGCTGAGTGGGTTTTAAAACACAGGATTCTACCTCAACTACCTCCATAAACTAACTTCATAAGTGTTATGTGTTAGAAATAGTCAGCGGTCTCCATATTATTGAAGAGAGAAGTATTCCTTCTTGAAAACCAGAAGCAACGATACGACGGACCCTGTCAAAGAAATGCATATCCTTGGTCTCCACCCCAGGCCTGGTGACTCAGTATCTCTTGGGCCCAGAAATCTATGCTTCAACAAGCTCTCTGAGTGGTATAGACTAAAGAGAAAATATCTTCCTTAAGCCCATCAATATTTTTTATAAATGAGATTCCAGTACAAGTCAGAGATCATAGCTACACTTTTTCCTATCAGCATCCATGAATAGATACTTCTTCGGAAGCTTTTAACATAAAGTCCACAAACTTTCACATTTTCAAAAGTCCTTACTTTTCAAAATAGTTTAGGTTTTTCGAACAACCACAGAAAAAAGTTGAGTTATTTATCTTCAAGTCCAACTCCAACCTTTCACAGACTAAAACCTAACATACATTTATATGTCTTAGCCCTGGCACATTCCTTTTGTTTAAATAACTACTTTTAAGTAAATATTTATTTTTCCAAGTTTTGCCTTACCTCCTTCACAAATCAAGGTAGGCAGTGGCAACAGCACCCCTCCCCTGCCCACTGTAATCCACATTGATTACTTTGTCAACTGATTACAGAGTTAGGTATTTGTGTTTCGGTTTTTCAGGCACTTCCTGGTGTTTTGATATTTGTTCCCAATCTTAAAATCCAGAACAAAGACAAATAAATACCGTCCACTTTGTTTTCCTCTTTCAGTATTTTAGAGGTTGGAAAATTTACAAAATAAATATCCTCTCAACCTTCTTATGAAAGCATTGCAAAAGAGAAGAAAAAAAATTGAGTAATAGTTTCCCCAAATTTAAAAATACCCAGCTAAGGCATATTCAAGTGACAAATAGCAACACTGATATTACTTTAAAAATAATCAGATAACAATCTAAAAATACAGGTCCATGAGTCTTAATTCTTTATCCATTATTAATTTCATTTGCAGGGCGAACCTAAATATGTTTATTCTATTTGCACAGAAATAAAAGTGTTAATAACCCAAGTGTTGGTAGATAAGAGATTAACAAAAACATTTCCGAAGAGCATTTAATCACTACCACATTCCCCAGCAAATCCAAAACAACTTGCGGAGTATGTTTCTTGGCCTTGGTGGGAAAGAGCTTCACTGGAGGTGGAAGGAGATGTTTTCAAGGAAAGCGGAGTATTAGTTTTATGATTCCCCAATTACCTGGTCCTGGCTGAACTTATATTTACCAAGAACTGGCCAGAAAAACTCTGCAACACGGGAGGTCATCATCCTGAAATCTACCACTTCAAAATTTTTGAGAGTCCCTTTGCTAACACTTCTCCAAAAAAGCAGCTACCTTTACGAGATTCACCACTGTTTCCGCCAGCCACGTCAGGTCTGAAGGCCCAACTAATGTTTGCTCACGGTCTTTTGGGTCAATACCTAACCTATCCGCCCTGCGGTCCCAGGTTTGCCTGCTCAGGAACCTCCCCTCCCCCATCAAAAAGTATGCAAATCCCGAGCTCCTTGAGCTTGACTTAGAACTCAAATTTAAATCCCATTTAGCAGAGTCTTCCTCACTGAGGCACAATACAGGGGTATACGGAGTGCAAACCCGAGTCCTGCGTGGCGGGAGCGCACAGGAGACGGCGTGGGGTGGGACCCGGCGCGGGGAGCCGAGGGGCACTTACGGTTGGCACAGCTTGATTAGGTCCTGGTCAGTGGTGCCTGGTGGAAGGCCTCGAATGTACAGGTTGGTTTTACTCAACTGTTCCCCGCTGCTGTTGCTGCTGCTGTTGTTGCTGCTGCTGTTTGTGCTGGGGCTGGGAGGAGCCATGGGGTGGGGAGCTGGTGCATAGGACTGCTGGAAACAGAAAAGGCTGTTACTGGAAAAACAGAGCCAGCACGGATTCACAGGCCAGCAGCACACCTCAAAAGCAAGACAAGTTTCTCGGCCTCTCTGACCCACACATGCACACACATCTTTTATCCCCGTCCTATGTACTTCTGAGAACATCACTTGCTCCCCCGCTCCCACCCTGGACCTGCATTTGCATCCGTGTGTTAGCCATAAATGGGACAAAAAGAAACTCCCAGGTGCTCCTGCCAGTGGCATATGGCTTCTGAGCTAGTCTGCTGTGATTCTCCTTAGACCTGTAAAGTAGCATGGTACTTCCCTCCCTGTTAGAAGAACATAGTTCCTTCACTCTTGGCACCAAAGCCCTGCTCCTAGTTCACTTCAACAGCCCACATCCTTGCTTTGTCTCTACTTCCTGTTCTCTCCTTCTCTCCAGTAAAACAAAACAAAACACAGACACCCTTCCTCCTATGATTGTCTTCACCGTCATTCTCCAACAGAATTCCTGACACAGAGACAGAACTCGCTCTCCAGTGAATCTATCCATGAACGGATGGATGGATGAATCTATCTTACCTCTTTCTCCCACTCCCAAATCTGCTTCTTCATGGTGAACACCCTTTGTTTGCAATTCTGAGCCACCAACCTCTCACGACAGTCAAGATTTCCTTTAAATCTCAATCTAGGCAGCCTTGCCAACTGGGAGGGCATATGCTTTGCTGTGGGACCCTTCGTGTTCATCACATTGTACAACCTCCGTTGTTCACTGCAGGATAGTAACAGCATGCTGGTCCTTTACCCACCAGATTCTAGTAGCACCCATTCTCCAGTTGTGACAACCAAAAAGGTCTCTGCACCCTGCCAGGTGTCCCCTGACAGGGAGAGTGGGGAATCTCCCCCAGTAAAGAACTACCATTCTAACCTGTCAAACTAGTTTATAATAAAATACAAAGATAAAATGATCCCCAGCAACTTAGAATATACAGTGTAAGGGTTTTAGAACTCTACATGCCAGAATTAGTAGATATATTACTCTTTATGCATTATTTCTTTGTCCCATAGGCAAATCTTCAGAAGTTCTAAAATTGTACTATCTGGGTTTGCATCCTGCTGTGTCTCTTACCGACTGTGTGACCTTTGGATGGTGCCTTAGCCTCTCTGGGACTCAACATTCTCATTCATATGAGGAGGATAAAAATAGTACTCTCAATAGTATGTCACAAGGTGTCTATGAAAACTTAATGAGCTCCTGTAACAAAATGATTCCTGGAAATTAGTGATGCACAATAAAATGCTAGCAATAATAAAAATGCAAGAATAATAATAATGGCAATATTTGTAGTTCTTATTTGTCTTGCCAGTGATATTAGTCTATATAACTATCCCAGATATTCTCCAATGTAACCTAAAATGTTACCCAAAGGCACAATGAACACATTTGTCAAGATTCCAGTGGGGAAATGTTTAGCCAAGTTTTAACCTGAGGACACATTAGCTGTTTTATCAGGGGTTGGAAGGTGCATTCTTATCAAACAGCAAGTAGGTGCTTAATAAATACTTAGGCTATATGGTACATAATAAATAACTAAGCGGACACAACACTTAGCCCACAGTGACAAGAGGCCAAGTTTTAGCAGTAGCCAGCCTTGGTTCTTGCTATAATAGTCTGTTTTACACCTTCCAGAATTATCAGATTTGTCCCAGTCCATATTTTCACCCAGCTATGACAAAGCCTCTTAGACACAGTTATGTCAAATGAAACTCATTATCTCTGCTTTCTCATCTCCCAATTCCCCACCCCAGCCACCCAGCACAACGACCCATTTCTTTTGGTTTTACTGACATTCATCAATCCCCATGCTAGAACCCTCAGTATTAGCTTCATCTTTTCCTTAATTTTAGATCTCAAAATAAAGTCAGCTACCAAAATCTCTGAGAGGTTGTTAGAAGCTTCCTTGTCTCTGAATTCCCACGCCTTCCTAGGCCAGGCTCTGGCCCACCTTGCAGACCCATCAGATCTATCCTCTGAACCCTTTTTCCTCTTGCTCTCCTCTTAGGGAGGAAAGTGAGGGAGAGCAGAAGACAGAATGCTCACGTGCAAACACAAACTGGTCAAGAGTGTCCTGGGCAGTTTCTTTAAGGAATGGGGAGAGGGGACAGTAGACATGAGAGGAGCAAAACCTAGAGCTTCCTTCTTTAAAATAAACACTCCTCAACCATTTCTCAGGCATTACCTCTTTTGTTACCAACATTCTTAACGTGGAATTTTACAACAAATCAGAGAGGAGAATTTTCTGTCCCCACTGTTTGAATAAAATGAAATACATCTATTGCCTTTAGGAATTTAATATCTGCAAAAAACTGCATGAAGTTTCTTGGCTGGCGTGAAAAATTATTCCTCCTTGATCTAAGAATTCTGTTTCGGGGTGCCTGGGTGGCTCAGTCGATTAAGCATCCAACTCTTGATTCCTGCTCAGGTCATGATCTCAGGGTCCTGGCGTAGAGCCCGGGATGGGGCTCTGTGCTCAGCACTGGTCTACTTATCCTTCCCCTCTGCTTCCCCCACCAGCCCCCCACCACCCGCATTTGTGCACGCACTCTCTCTCTCCCAAATAAATAAATAAATTCTTTTAAAAAATTCCATTGCACTCCTTGGATGCCCCATGACACTTAAGCTCTAGCTCTTAATAAGCCCTGCACTTAGTAGGTCTTCAACAAATTCTTGCTACAGCAGCTTCTTGTCTTGCTTGTCTCCCAATGGGACAGATGGGATTTATCTTTTATTTCCATTATGTGTTTTATTCTCTTAAATTTCCCAGGGCTTTTTAAAAGCTGTTTGTTACCACTTTCACCTCCCCTCTCCCTAAATTCTTTGAATTCCATTCTGTACTCAGGGTTCTTTTAAAATAAGGCTTTGTTTAAAGCAGCTTTTCCCACTGCACAGCTTTTAAAACTACTAGGGAGCCAAAAAAAAAAAAAAAAAAAAAAAGTCTTCAGCTCTATGTATCATAGATCTGATGGACCAGCACAAACTTTGAGTCCCTGACTGATCAAATAAGAAAGCATCCTTTACAGGCTGTTCAATGTGTGTTTACTTACTTCTCCCCTCCCCATCCTCCCATCATCTTTGTAAGCGTTTCCATAGCCAGAAATACCATTCAGTAAATTGCATGGTGCCTAAAACAATAAATATGCCCTCCAAAGTGCCCCACGTATTCACCAGGATAAAATAAATAAATTAACAAAACAGTCAAAAGCAAATCAAAGTTGTGATGACCATAGGGAACTTATATGCATGGGAGTGAGGTATGTGATTTATAAATAGAGATAGTACCACCAGACTGTTGCAGAGAAATGATGTATTCCAAAAGCCCTTTGAAAAAATACACAATCAAACATGATTTTCTCTGTCATATCCCTGTTTGTGAGTTCTAGAAGTTCTGCAGAAAGAGGTAGACTTTTCCAGCATTACTGAGCCAATCAACCCACAGATTTTAACACCCAGTGCCCATCTCTCCCTAATCCTTAATATTTCATTTATCCTTTGATGATATACTGAATGATTCAGGTAGCAGTCTGCATTGTAAATCATTCTTTGGTGTTAAGAATTATAAATTCCCTCCTCTTCACCCAGTTTCCAAATACACATCCTTTAATCAACAAAACATTGGCAGAAGGTTCCGGGAATGTCTGACAAATGCAAAGGCCTAAATGAATTAATCTGTGAAAAGCAAAAAGCAATGTTGTATGCTCTGGTGCCAAAGACGAATGACCAAACTACAGCATCTCAAAAAAAAAGGCAGTAATCTTTAGAGGTTAATGGGTCACAGCAACCACTTTCCTAATTAAAAGTGGCTCTGATACCTTTCTCAATTCTTTTGTCTTCAGATGGAGCTGGGATTTTATCACTGATTAGCTTTTAAATCATTTTGAGGCACTAAAGAAGAAATTCGAAAATGTTAGTAACCAAAAGAATTTATTTTCCCTCAGATAAAACCAACTTTGCTATATTGCTCAAAGTCACACTTTATAAATCCTATTTAGGAGCAGTGAGGACTTACAGTGGGGGTTACCCAGCACCGTAATGCTGCGTTGTAGCAGGACCCGGAGCTGTTACGAATTTGCAGTGTCAGCTTGAATACAACCAGTCCAAACGGCACATTTTCAGAAGAGGGCCTTCAGATGGCACTCGATGGAAGGAGGGAGATCGGATTTCTCTCTCGAACCTGCACATGCTTGGCAAGGACACAGATTTCCCTCAGATGTTTATTCACAGCAGCATGGCTGGGAGGGTCTGTTAGGTGTCAGGGGCTGGGGCTGAAAGCCCTCTGAACCACACGTTGGAGCCGCCACATCAGTGGATCAGGGCCAGTGTCCTCTTTGGGAAATTAAATAAAATGCCTTGACATCCATTTTGGAAGATAACGATTCTAATAATTACAGGTAGCATTTGCGGTGTGCTTCCTAAGCATTTTATGTAATGAGGCAATGAGGCAAATAAAACGCTTCTCATTCACAAATGGGAAAATGCAAGTGCAAAATGGGCAGATGACCTTCTCAAGGTCACGCAGCTGGAGCCCCAGTTTGAACTTAGGAAGTTTGACTCCAGAAGCCACACAGTCCCCACCTCCACACTCTAGAACTTCACGTATTAATGACATGGGCACCAATAAACCCAGTGGCTTTCTGATCGTGAACTTGGGAGGATGACACTGACAGAGGCTCTGGTGCATCCAAGTACAAAGTAGAGACAAAGAAGGAGGAGGATAAACAGCACACAGTCAAAATGGAAGTGAATAAGCCTTTTCCTCGCTCAGAATTTACACGAAGTCCATTTTAAAATTTAATTTCGCAGGGGAAGTGACCATCACAAGCAAGCATGTTATGAGTTTTTCAAATAATGTCAAGCAAGTGGGTTCATTCGTCAAGATTCATGGTGTGTTATTTGATAACAGGAAAATGAACTGGCTTGTAGATCATCCTAAACAGCTGATTCATTTAGTGTG